AATCCTCAAACACATCTATATCGCAGTGCATAGATAATGTATTGATATCAAGCTTCTATAGTTGCAAAGCATCAAAGAAATGTTGACATTTGAAATCAGATAATTCAGTGGCAAAACTGTGTTTGAGATGAGCCTTCTGGTTTTGTTCTTCATTTTTCTTTGGCCTTGAATTTGGAAAATAGGCAGTATAGGAGCAGCAATGTGGCATTTGTATCTTGGTTCACAACATCTAGGAAGACATAAGGAATACAAAACAGATGAGTTAAGTACTAACTAAATTGAAAAAGAAAGACTGTATTGCCACATTTGAGTGGAACCTAGCAGTTTGAAAACATGCAAATGTGAGTAGATCAATAGGTACTGCTCCAGCGGGAAGATAACAGCGCTCCATGCAGTCATGCCGGCCACATGGCCTTGGAGGTGTCTACGGGACTATGCCACTCTACATAATAATATTCAGGCATCTGCCATTTTAGTCACCACTGGTGGTTCTGGGACTGACTTCCAATAGATACCAAGACCCTACTGTATGACATTCATTTTAAAATCAGATTTCCTTTCCATTTTATCAACACTGTTTTACAGTTTCAACACATTAAACTCTTCAAAAGTTAGAACAGCATACTCTGAGCAAATACAAATTATCCGAGTATGGCCTACAGCAATGTTCTCTACCTACAATGACTGACCTTCAGGGTTGATAGGAGTGTCTAGAAGACCTTCATCCATAAGCAACTCTACAGCAAGATTAACATTGTGTATCTAAGAAAGATTAACAAAATAAGTGTGGTTCTAGTTCTCAAAAGAGGGAGTAAACTCACCGATACAACTATCAACAATTATCAGGGAATAAAGTACAGGTAGGCAACTGTCAAGATTTTTTAATGTGCAGATTGGATTCCCATAGAATCCTAGAGAAGTGGACCACCTGCAATGCCTCCCTAAATTTTAAACATTTTAAAACATTTTCCCCTAGAATGATTGCTTTGCTAGGCAATGGGGGGTGCTTTGGATAGGATTCAACACACAATAGTCCCATCCATGCATACTTCACTGTGAATAAGCCATTTGAAACTTCAAAAGTTGGGAAGAGAAAAACTTCAGATGTTTTGGACAACGTCTCCCAAAATTTCTTCCAACTGACCATGTTAGTTTATTTTTGAGGAGTGTAGAAGAGCTGGAGGGCCAAAGGTTTACTACCCTGTGCTAAGTAAATATATTCCATACCTTCCTAGCAAAGGGGATTGAAATTCCATGTAACATAGTGCTGTTGAGTTATTTTATTTTTCCTTCTTTTTCCAGAACTTTTTTTGTCCTGGGTACTACTCTCTGGAGACAGCAAAGCCTAGAGAAGACAATTATGCTGGGGAAAGTGGAAGGCAAAAGGAAGAGGGGCCGACCAAGGGCAAGATGGATGGATGGCATCCTTGAAGTGACTGGACTGACCTTGAAGGAGCTGGGGGTGGTGACGGCCGACAGGGAGCTCTGGTGTGGGATGGTCCATGAGGTCACAAAGAGTCGGAGACGACTGAACGAATGAACAACAACACTACTCTCTACACTAAACAAACCATGGAGCTTCAATGTCTGATGTTAAAGACCCTATAAAGATTCCACCAGTCTGGAAATCCCAGAACATAATACAGAGAGTCTTTTTCAGGGTGGTCCTCTACTGTTAGAACAGCAATATAATTAAAGGCAAAATCTGGAAGGGCATCAGTAGTAGTGTAAAAGCCCATTGCAGACACCAGACAAGTCAAACTCTCCTTGTCCCAGGAAAAACATGTGATAGATTCATCTTAGGGTCACCATAAGTCCGAAAGGGAAGAATGAAATGCAGAAAGTACAGTGTAGGCATCACATATCATTTTCCTGTGAGCTCTTAATTTGTGTACGGCGTGTGTCCTGCACTCAAGACATAGCGAGTTCAAAGCACATAAGATCCAAACAGAGGTTTGGTGTTGAATAGGGCACCCAAGTGGTATATAGGTGATCTAGATAAATTTCTCGATTAGGAATTAGACCAAAGTACTAAAGCTAACAAAAGAATAACACACCTTTTCAGAAACAGAAGTTGGATTCAGGAAGAACTCTCCCAAGTTCAGAAAATAGCCTTGGAGCTGCCCAATTAGCAAGATCAAAATAACACCGTCTGCAAACTAAAAGACACCACAAAGATCCTGAGCATATTCCATATATATTTGACTGTAAGTCAATACGTTTTCATCCAAAAAATTTCAGAGTCACCATAAAGTGACAGCTGACTTGAAGACACATATGAACACAATACCGCCCATAATCTGAAGTTGCACAGTCCAGGAACATCATAGTCTTTTCTGCTTACACTATCTTTAATCAAACACTGCCTCAAACCATCTGTAAAAAGAGAGCTATAGACACTCCATGCAGTCATGCCGGCCACATGACTTTGGAGGTGTCTACGGACAAAGTCGGCTCTTCGGCTTAGAAATGGAGATGAGCACCAACCCCAAGTCGGACTTAATGTCAGGGGAATTATTTTACTGTTATTATTATTGCATTTATTTTATTTACCACCTTTCTCTCAGAGTAAGTCCCAAGGAGGCTCTCAAAAAGAATCAGCTAAGAGCAATTATGATTTATTTATCTAAAACATATATATTCTGCCCTTCTCACCCCGCAGGGGACTCAGGGCAGAGCACAACATATATACGGCAAACATTCAATGCCGGGACATAAAACCATAAATATATACAAACACTAAAATCACTTATATCCACTTTAAAAGTTGCTTAAAACCCACCTCAGGACATCATTTTGCCTCATTGTAGTGTCCCGAAGGCTTGGTCCCATAGCCAGGTCTTCACCATCCTGAAGCACAGGAGGGAGGGGGCTGATCTAATATTGTCAGGAAGGGAGTTCCATAACCGGAGGGCAATCACTGAGAAGGCCCTGTCTGTCGTCCCCGCCAAATGCGCCTATGATGGTGGCGGGACCGAGAGCAGGGCCTCCCCAGAAGATTTTCGTTTCCGCAGTGGTTCATAGTGATTTAAAACACAGTTAAAATAATCCCATTCAAACAATAGGTTAAAAACAGCATAAAATCATTAAAAACAGTAAAACAAAGCATAGCAATGGTTGTTAGGAGGGAAACTACAAAGCATTATTAGCTGTTATGATGATCAACACCACAAAGCAGATTAATTAAACATGCCAAAGGATTTTACCTGTGCATTTATGTCTTTTACAGTTAACCCTAATTTCTCAACGTGCTTGTTGACAAATTTCAGAAGTACCTAAACAAATGAAAACAACAAGAAATTAGTGTGCATCTTGGTTGTATACATAGAGTCACAGACTCATGATATACAATAAAGTACCATAAAAATAACAGGGTGTATACGTTACCTCTTTTACAGCATCCAGTTTCTCTGGGGCATGTTTCAATAAGTCATCAAAAATCTCAGCTTCTACAACAAAGTGGTTGTGGAGAATGTTTTTACATTAGGTATTACAATACAAGACTTATTTATTAGGCCTGTTTGATCAAGAAAAAATTTGTTTCTAAAATCGATTTGTAATTGGGGTGTTTTTTTGTTTCGATATTTAAAATAATCACAAAACTTTCCAAAAAATTTGGTATTTACGAAATTTCGTAAATATTAACAAAACATTTTGTAAAGATGGGGCCTTTTTTTTCAATATTTTTTAAATATTTTTTAAATTTAATTATTAAATAATTTAGTAGAATAGGGAGGAGAAATTAAGGGAAGGCAGGCACTCACTCTGGCGGGCCCTCTCGCTCGCCGCTCGCCCTCTCGCTCGCCGCTCGCCCTCTCACTCGCCCTCTCGCTCGCCGCTCGCCCTCTCGCTCGCCGCTCGCCCTCTCACTCGCCCTCTCGCCGCTCGCCCTCTCGCTCGCCGCTCGCCCTCTCACTCGCCCTCTCGCCCTCTCGCTCGCCCTCTCGCTCGCCCTCTCGCTCGCCGCTCGCCCTCTCACTCGCCCTCTCGCTCGCCGCTCGCCCTCTCGCTCGCCGCTCGCCCTCTCACTCGCCCTCTCGCTCGCCGCTCGCCCTCTCACTCGCCCTCTCGCTCGCCGCTCGCCCTCTCACTCGCCCTCTCGCTCGCCGCTCGCCCTCTCGCTCGCCGCTCGCCCTCTCGCTCGCCCTCTCACTCGCCCTCTCGCTCGCCGCTCGCCCTCTCGCTCGCCCTCTCGCTCGCCCTCTCGCTCGCCGCTCGCCCTCTCGCTCGCCGCTCGCCCTCTCGCTCGCCGCTCGCCCTCTCACTCGCCCTCTCGCTCGCCGCTCGCCCTCTCACTCGCCCTCTCGCTCGCCGCTCGCCCTCTCACTCGCCCTCTCGCTCGCCGCTCACCCTCTCGCCCTCTCGCTCGCCGCTCGCCCTCTCACTCGCCCTCTCGCTCGCCGCTCGCCCTCGCCCTCTCGCTCGCCCTCTCGCTCGCTTGCTCAGCCGGCGCGGAGAGAGGAGAGCTCCCAGCAAGCCAGGCGGCCATCTTACGTATTTCCGAAATGGACGGAAATACAAAATTTTTTGGCGCCTGCCGTTTCGATATTTAAAAACCCTTCCGGGTTTGAAAATATGTTTTGTTATCGTTTCGTATATGCAAAAATTAACGAATGTTTAACGAATTAACGAACGAAACCGCACAGGCCTATTATTTATTTATATTCTAATTCATTAACAACGCACAAAGTGATGGAGTATTTGTCATATAGGCAAAGAATATTGTCTGAAAGATTTTGGGAATTGGCAGACCCAAATATGTTGTTGTTGTTGTTGTTGTTGTTGCGGTTGCTGTTTTGCAAGCTTTGGCCATATGGCTCATCTATGGGCTTGTGAATACAATGCATTTCTCACCTCTCTCCATGTTTTTTGCATCTTTTCCTTCCATAGTCATTATATACTATAGAAATCTAGACTGTGGGCTCCTTTGGACAGAGATCTGTCTTTTGTATTTATTTTAGTCTAAACGTCACCCCTACTGATAGTGTTATTCTGCAAAAATAAATACATGTCAACAACTCTTGTTAGTGCAACATCAGGCTGATAATAACGATTAAATTAATCAATTAAAAATTAATCAGCCACTGAAATGTATTCTTAATGAGGAACTCCCCATACTCTAACTCAATGGGACTCAAAACAAATGCCTGAGGCACTATATTCCTCCAACCTAGTTTGAAAACTACTGACATAGCACTGCACATACAGCCAAATAAAGTATCTGTAGTCTTCCAGAAACTCAATAAGTAGTCTATGTGTTGCTTTTTGCCTTTTAATTTCGAACAAATTTCCAGTGTCTTTGCAGACAGCCAATTTTCTCATAACAGAAGCAACTTGCAGTTTCTCCACATACTTACTCAGGTGATCCCTCATTGGCTGAGTAGGATAGTCTTCCAGGATCAGTGTTCTGGTGGGTCCATAGGTGACTGTGGAGCCCTATTCTTGATCTGCATCTTCTTCCGCTGTTGCAGTAGAGTCGGTTGGCAACACTGCAACTGGTAGTAGGAGTGTCAGAGGAGGGAAAAGGGGTGCTCAGGAGTTAGATGAGGAACAGCAGAAGAAGAGGATCCGGGAGATACTGATGTCACCCACTGATTAAGAGTCTTTCGAAGGGTTTTCTGAGAGTGAAATGAGTGAGGAGGAGGAAGGAGATATAGTGGATGTGAATAGGTGAACTAAGAGGATTACTCGGGAGCAGGAGCGACAGAGAAAGAAGATCTGGGATATACTTACTGCTCCCACAGATGAAGAGAATTTCATGGGTTTTTCTGGGAATTATGGGTCTGGGAGTGATGGGGATGAGGATGACTCACTGGATTGGACCAAGGTGCAAGAGGTTCGGGATGTGTGTACTCAACCAACATCTAGTGATAAGTTTGCAGGGTTTTCTGGTGGAGGGGATTGGCAATTGGGTGATACTGTGGAATCCTGGGGAGATCTAAGTCTTGACAAGAGGTGGAAGAGTTGGAGGGATGGGCGTTGGCGCTCAGCTGTGGAAGCTAAACCAGCTGAAAGTGATGATAACGGGGTGGAGGGCAGCTCATCATCAGATGATGAGTTGTCAGATAAAAGTAGGCACTGGAAAGATAGAACTTTGCAGTAGGCAAAGTGTTGGTTTTGTGCCATGGGTCTTGTCGCTGCCACTTTCGTGTTGGGCTTGGGTCCTTGATCTGCAGGTTGCTGTTTACCTTCGTGTGTCAACTCAGCTTGGATTCTCGTAAGTGCGAATTTCTCCTCTCCTTGACTTCGGATTGCTTTTGACAACGAAGCTGCCTCGTGGACTTTGGAACCTCGCAACTTTGGACTTTCTTCGACTTCGGACTTCATTGAGACGACGGCTCTTCTTCACGGATCTTTGTTTGATTGTCTTCCATTTGCTGTGTGATTTTGCATGATTTTGGAAGTACTCCAGTTTAATCCGGATTTTTTGCCTGGATAATCCGGATTATTGCTTTAGTTTACTTTTCAAGCTAATAATTGCTGCTACTTTTGAGTTTTGACCAGAGACACTGAAGTAAGTGTCTCCGAGTCTCTTTTGCTTTGTATTAAACTGTTCTTTTGGACATATTACTGAGTAATTTCTTCAACCTCGTGTAAATCAAGTAATTTAAGAAGTCAATCTGAGTTGCTTTTGTCTGCATCTGCTTGCATGACAACATTGCTGGGGTGTGTGATGTCTCCCCCTCCTCTCTCCCCTTCTCTTGTATCAGTGGGAAAGATGGAAGCCTTCAAGTCTTGAGAAGTTTGCATTTGTCCTTTTTCTTTCTGAAAATGTATTTCTCAACTCCATATGGTTGATAAACCCCCTGAGACATCCCAGTGTTCAGTCAGCTCACTGAGACACTCCTCATGGCTCCATGTCTTCGCTGAAAGCCCCTGTTTTAACCCTTATATGCATTTTATGTTGCTAAATGGGTGTTTGTGGTTTGTGCGTGCATTCGTGTTCGGTAAAGATACTAATAGAAGGAAAAGAAAACTTTTGAAGTTCTCTCTGCTGATATAGTACAAAGTTCAGTTAACCCAAAATTACAATTATTTTTATGCAAGAAAATTGTTGTCTATTAGCTATTTGCGACACAGCTGTCTGCAGGGAACTAATTGGTTGTCCATAATCACATAGCTAATGAAAGGAGAGGCATGATGTAGAAACACTGAAACAATGCCTTAATTCTGCAACTTACTTGAAGAGCTTTCTTCGCATTCCCTAAAGGTTAAAAAGAAAAAGAAAAGTTAGTTGAATTTATTCATATTCAAAAAAATAAAGCTCCTGCATTGGCACCAGAATTTGGAAAACTTGCAATATTGGCTGGTTGATTCTGATTTTAATTGCAATCCACAATAACTGAGCTGAACTCCTGTTGTGAAGGGTGCATCTATATTGTAGAATTGTGCAGTTCGATACCACTTTTAACAGTTGAGGGTCAAAGCTATGGATTTCTAGGAGTTGTAATTTTATTCACTCTCTTTGTACTTCTCTGTCCAAGAGTTCTGCCCACTAACCAATCCTTTCCCATAATTCCATAGTACTGAGTCACAACAGTTAAATTGGTGTCAAATTGCATTCATTGTACAGTATAGATGCAGCTTTAGTTCCCACGAGAGTAAATAAAGATTTGAATGTTAACACATAGGTAAATGTAACTGATTCAATGGCTCTGCTCTAGTGAATGGACTGACCTTAAAGGAGCTGGGGGTGGTGACGGCCGACAGGGAGCTCTGGCGTGGGCTGGTCCATGAGGTCACAAAGAGTCGGAGACGACTGAACGAATGAACAACAACAAGCTCTAGTGAATATTACCAATGAGATTTAACCCCTCCTGTTACGTCAAATAGCTTACTTCTGGGTATAAATATCTACATGGCCGAATTCTTTGCATGTTTCCTTTGAAGAAAGAGTCACTTGCTCCAAGCTAAATTATATATAATGCCATTTCTTTTAGCTACAAGTCAAGCTTGCCAGTTCAGGATCCCTTTCTTCTTGCTTGAAGCTTGATACACTATAGTGATATTTATGTACAATATCAAATATATTTATAGTCTTGTAGACTATATGTGTTCTAAGATGAGACAGTGCTGGAGGCCATTTGCCCACATCCTACCCTCCTGATATTTGCCTTTCCTCTATTTCTTATGTGTAAATTCACCCTTTCTTGGTTCTTTGCCGCAGAGAAAAGTATTATTTACTAGCTGTTGCTGTGACCCAGTTTGGTGATTTGGAAAATAAAGTAATGAGAAAGTGTTGGTTTCTAATATATGTAATTTCTTTATGTTTGCAGGTAAAATAATGGCCCTGCATGGAGATCCTAATTTTAGTTTTCAGTTATATATCTTGATACTACAGGATCTTATCCAGGTCCTTCCTAGGTGCCCTTTAAAGTCTTAGCCTTCTTCTGATTTCCCGAGAGTAGTCTCTTTTCTGATTAATGACTAAACCAAGATATAGACAATCTTGAACTATTTTAGTGTCTTCATTGTCTACTTTAATATAATGTAAATAATATATGGCCAATAAGCATGTGTACACATATGAGTGTATGAGGGAAGATTTGCAAAGTTCAAAAAGGTATATATATCTCTCTCTTGGGAATTACCAAAAGAATTCCCAATATATGAGGGCTGAATAAAAAGTAATGCCTCCACCTTCGTTACTTGGGTTTGGAAGGGAATATTTTAATAAATCAAACGCAGAAATACCCCCTAGAACAGGGGTTCTCAAACTTTTTAAACAGAGGGCCAGGTCATAGTCCCTCAAACTGTTGGAGGGCCGGATTATAACTTGAAAAAAATATGAATTCCTATGCACACTGCACATATCTTATTTGTAGTGAAATAGACACATACAAACAATGCAATAATTAAAATGAAGAACAATTTTAACAAATATAAACTTATTAGTATTTCAATGGGAAGTGTGGGCCTACTTTGCCTGATGAGATAGGATTGTTGTTGTTGTTGTGTGCTTTCAAGTAGTTTCAGACTTAGGTTGACTCTGAGCGAGGGCCAGGTAAATGACCTTGGAGGTCCGCATCCGGCCCCCGGGCCATAGTTTGAGGACCCCTGCCCTAGAACGTGCTCTTTAACTACCACTATTCACTTTTCCACATAATCACCAGACAATTGGATGCATTTCTGCCAACTATGAACAGGTTTTTTGAAGCCGTCACGGAAGAAGTCGACACTCTGTTTCCACAACCAGCATCTCACAGTTCTCTCAACATCTTCATCAGAAGCATAATGATGTCCCCACAGATCTTCTTTCATTATCGGGAACAGATGGAAGTCAGATGGTGTTAAATCTGGACTGTTTGGAGGATGTCGTACAGTGGTGAGGCGTCAGCATCCTGGGTACCCATCATGCACAGATTTTCCGATAGCCAAAAGAAAATCAATAACGTGACCCACACGTTCTTGTGAAATGCCGATTATAATTGAAATTTCTCTCTGAGTGATACGATTGCCCTGAATCAATCTGTCAACCTTTTGCTTGTGAAATTCAGTGGTTGCTGTCACAGGACGTCCAACTCTTTGTCTGATGTTCCCACCTCAACATCTTTAAACTTTCTTGTGCAATGACGCACAGTACACACATCAACACAATCACCATAAACAGCTTGCATTCTCTGATAAATCTCCTTTGGGGTGACACCTTCTGCTGTCAAGAATTCAATGACTGCACGTTGCTTAAGTCGCATTGACTGACCGTATGCGCAGGGTTCCATACTTCACACTTTAACAACACAACCATTCAATGCTAAGGCTTCCCTCCAAAATGGAACTGTAGAGGAGAGTCTACTGAATAAGCCAGTACCTGCAGCATACCAGGAGTTACGAAGGTGGAGGCATTACTTTTCATTCAACCCTCATATAACCAATTTCACATGTTGAGTTTGTGTCAGTTGTTTGTGGATTTTAGTGCATGAACAAAGTCTTCATGGGTTTATTTTAAGCAATGTTAGACACATAGCAGAGTACATGCTTGCTGCTCAGGTCAGTCACCAGAAAAATAATAATATGAATTAAGAAATTGCCAAACTGACTTTTATTTCCAAAACCCCTGAATAAAGAGCTAGATACGATTTACAAAAGCAAGTAACCAAATAGCTTTCTATCAAGAACAAAGAACCATAAAGAACAATTTCATTGGCTATGTCAATCACACTTCAAGTACAATATGACTTTTTGTACCTGTCCTTGGTAATGAACTCTATTGCATTTTCTGTCTTCAGTCCATTTGAAGTGCGCTGTGAATTAGAAATCAAGCTTTAGATAAATTATGGGGAATGGTAAGAGCCAATGAGAAGATTTCAACTATTACAAAGCAAAGAGTAATACATGAATAAATAAGATTAGAATTTACAGTGGTCATGGACAGGGTAAAAAGAGTCTCACTGGTTTGGTCTAGACATTTATTACTATGAACAACTCCTAGGCAACAAGAAAAAAGCAGTTTTGTTTCTTTATTTTCTGTTAATAATCAAAAGTGGTGGTGAAAGAATTTGAAAAAGGAGAATTGGCAGGACAGAAAAAGGATGTAACTCTCCTTTCACTTCACTTTCTCACAGACCTATGAATTCTGAGATGTGTATGCTTTTAGGGTTGCTGTAAATGAAGGCAGCTTTTCAAGACAATTAAATCCACATTTACATAAATATGAGAGCCAATATGTTGTGGTGGATTGAGTGTTGAACTGAAACACCAGGAGACAAGGAGCTGAATTCCCACTTGGCCATACAAAACTACTGAGTGATCTTGGGCACAAACAAAACCCTCTAAACAATCCTTGCCAAGAAAACTCTATGATGGGGATTTCTTAGGGATGCCAAAGATAAAAAGTTAGAAATATGTGGATAAAATGGAAACAGTCTGTAAATGCCTATAATCTCTATTCCCCCTGCTGATTCGACCCCAAATATCCCCAGAGCTTTTAATGGTGTCAGCCGACACTGAACTGGGATCCCAGACTTGCTTCTAAACAAATAGTGAGTCTGGGATCTGATGCCTTTTTTGGAAAGGAAATCAAACTGGGGTTCTACTAGCATGCATAGTCTAAACCAGGGGTCCTCAAACTATGGCCCGGGGCCGGATGCGGCCCTCCAAGGTCATTTACCTGGCCCTCACTCAGGTTCAACCTAAGTCTGAAATGACTTGAAAGCACACAACAACAGCAACAATCCTATATCATCAGCCAAAAGTAGGCCCACACTTCCCATTGAAATACTAATAATTTTATATTTGTTGACATTGTTCTTCATTTTAATTATTGTGTTGTTTTAAGTGTTTTTTGCACTACAAATAAGACATGTGACCTCCTTCTTGTTAGCTATTCTCACACTCCTTCAATCTCTGATTAATTCATTTTTTTTTTCAAATTATAATCTGGCCCTCCAACAGTTTGAGGGACTGTGACCTGGCCCTCCGTTTAAAAAGTTTGAGGACCCCTGGTCTAAACAGCTTTTGGCATTATTTGAGCAGAAATATACACACAACTTGAAGAAGCAGCAAAACACCAAAAACTAAAAATATATATTCTCTGTCAATCTTGACGTCAGCTGCTGACTTCATATTGTCCCAAAGTGTTTGCCAATAATCTATGAATATCTGATAATTAAGTGATAATTTAATTGTGATACATAACAATTAATTACAACATTTAATATTTAATTAATTTGTGATAGTATTGATTGTGGAATTCTGACCCAGCGTAGCTATCTGGATGCATGTCTCCCTATGAACCTTCCAGGAATTTAAGATCGTTTGGGGAGGCCCTGCTCTCGATCCCGCCTACCTAACAGGTGCATCTGGCAGGGACAAGAGACAGGGCCTTCTCAGTGGTGGCCCCTCGACTGTGGAACTCCCTTCCCAGGGATATTAGATTGTACCCCTCCATCCTGACCTTTTGGAAAAGGGTGAAAACTTGGCTCTTTGAGCAAGTGTTTGGAGCTCCAGCATGACCAGATAAACACAAACATTTTAATACGAACATGGAACGGTCAAGACAATGTAAACGGATGAGGAATTAGTCTGGAAGACACTGGGGCTTTTTATAGATTTTGATAGTTTTTATGGTTTTTATGGATTTTATATATATTTATGATGAGATTTCATTGCTTTTAACTGATATATGTATATAAATATGGCATCTAATTGTTGCCAGTCTGCACGCTGCCCTGAGTTGCCTTCGGGCTGAAATGGGCGGGATAGAAATGAAGTAAATAAATAATATATATATATATATATATATATATATATATATATATTGCATTTGCTCATATTGGATTATGTTTTAGCACTGAATGGGCCCTATATATAATGTTTAACAACTAAAAAGATTTATAAAATCCTGTGTTAACATCATCATGAAAAGATGAGCATCACTACCTTTTGGCGATAAAAAAAAATCCATATTCAAACTGCAAGAATAATATGTTGCTTCCAACTACTGATAATCTTGATAATACCCCATGCTGGACCTGTTGGATTGCAACACTCACTGAATAAGTATAAGATGGCATGGGAAGAAATAATAGATATGTCAGTATATGGAGGATCGCAAGATGCCCAGGTTCTGTCTATGGTCTCTGATGTCTGAAAGCTTCAATGGACCTAGGACAGAACAATCAGCCTCCCTTCTTTACATCATGCAAAAGCTCAGACAGGTTGCTATGTCTACTGCATGGTGAAGAAGAGGAAGTTGTGGAGGAAACCATTGGGCCAATTCTTGTCTCAAGCCATTATCTAGAAACCCAACATCCAAAACACTCCAAAATCGTCCATCTACATATGCTTTGTGTAAAAGGTGTCTATTAATTCTAAATGAATTTCATGTGTAGGCTTGGGTCCCACCTCCAGGTTATCTCTTTAAGAATGTGGAAATATTCCAAAATCTCAGATAATCCAGAAACCAAAACACATCTGGTCTAAACCTCTTTATAGAAGGGATACTGTACCGTAATATAAGAAGAGTGCTATAAAGCAAATGGAAGAATATTCTCTCTGCTCCGCAACCCCTTCTCCTTGCTCCATAATTCATCATTGAGTCACCACTGGAAAAGTTAGTTTTAGGGCATTTTTGTTGGGGAATGCTAGCTGTCATGCAAAAAAGGTAAAATGTCCAAATTCTGACTCTTCACTTATAATAATCTATATAAATAAAAATGTAATGTTCATTTGTGGGATTAACATAACTAAAAACCACTGGACTAATTGACATCAAATTCGGACACAACACACCTATCAGACCAACAAGTGACAATCACTCATGAAAACACTAAAAAACACAACGGAAGGGACTTAAAAAGCCAAAAAATGAAATTAAAGCTATGGACATATTAACTTTCTTATTGAAAAAGAATACAGGAAATCCGGTTAAACAAACAAACTGGGTACAGGTGGAAGAATAGATAGAAAAGAGAAGCAAATAATATTAGTTGTGAAAGTATATTAATATAGGTTACAAGAGTGGACAATTAAGAAAAAACTAGGAAGATCACATAGACAATAAAGTTGAACCCGTGTAGGATTAGAAGGAAGTCACAAGATTTTATTTTTCATTTTTTTCTTTCTTTTTTCTCTTTTCCCTCATTTTTATTTTTATTTTTATTTTTTTAGCATTAATAGAATTTTAATATACACATATTTTTGGGTGGGTTTTTTTCTTTGTCTTATCTCTATCTTCTTGGTTTCCTACTTTCTTTAATATACTATGTTCCCCCACTTTACTTGGAAATATACTTTTTTTCTTTATCATAAATAAAAAATCTATTTTTTAAAAAGCCAAAAAAGCAAAAAGATGCTACAGCGCATGTGCAAAAAACCCCTCCCCCTAGCAAACAAAACACATAATAGCATATCCACACTTTCTTCCAGATTACAGCTCCCAGTATCCCCAAGATGATCCAAGTGCACTGCTTCCAAGCTGCAAGCTTTCTTCTCCTTGGATTTCTTTGAGAGCATCCCAATCCCTGCATATTTCCAATTTCCTATTCCTGGACTACAACTCCCAGCAATCCTCCAGATAGATAGATAGATAGATAGATAGATAGATAGATAGATAGGTAGGTAGATAGGTAGGTAGGTAGATAGGTAGATAGATTGATCAGGAGGATTACTGGGAGTTGCAGTCCAAGAATAGGTAGAGAAGGAAGAAAGGACAGTAAGAGGAAGGGAAAGAAAAGGGGGGAAGGAAGGAAGGAGAGAATGAAAGAAAAAAAAGGGAAGGAAGGAGAAAGGAGGAAAGAGGGAAAGAAGATGGGCCACAGCAACGCGTGGCAACTAGCAATAATAATAGAAATTTATCTAGTAACAAGATACTTCCAAGAGGGTAAAAAAATGTTCTGAAAAATGGCAGAAATTGTAAAGAAAAATGTTTGAAACTTACCTCTATGTTGATTATGTCCACTTTAACATTTGGGGGCAATGCAAGTCTTGGCTGGAAGTGCTCAGCAAGGGCCACCAGGAGATGCAGTGTACTTAGCAAATCCTTCTTCAAGATGGCTAAAACCAAATCACATGAAATGCTGATTAAGTATAAGATAACTACTATGTCTAGCTTCTATATTAACTTGAAGGGTGTGCAAAATTTTGTTTATAACTTGTTCATCGTATCTCATTCATTCGATTCATACATACAAAGCAATATTTAGAATCGCGAGGGGCAGCCATGCAAAAAACTTAAGATTCAAAACACTGACCTACGACTTTCGGATGAGTTATGTAAGTCCCAAATTGTGTCCTAATCCATGCCTTCTGTAACTCTTTTTTCTTTTCGGCCAACAGATAGACCCTCTACGAATTCTGCATCCATGGATTCAACCATCCAAAGCTTGAAAATATTCACCCAAACAGCCAACCATGATTTTTCCATTTATAGAATTGCATCATTTTATTAGGCGAGTGAATATAATGGGACTTCAGTACTCACAGATTTTGGTAATGCAAAGAGTCCTGGAACCAAATCCCAAGGGTGTATGTGTGTGTGTGTACACACACACAAACACACACATATCTCTGTGTGTTTGTTTGTGTATATATATACACACTAGACATGGTTAGGTACCTTCGTAATCTTCGTAATTTGGAATAAAGTCAGAAAAACTACCTTTTTGAAGCGATTTCGGAGTTTTTAAGGAAACTGGAAGTCCCTTTGCCCTTCCAAAGATTCTTCTACCATTTTTGTTATGACTCATGAACTGAATCAGAAATGATTCAGCTTTTCCCTTCTTCGGTCCCTGGCCTCGGCTCAAGCCAGAGAAGCCAGTTTTAAAGCCAGAGAATCCAGTTTTAAACTAGAGAAGGAAGGAATTTCCTCCGTTTGCTTTTCCCCTCTTCTGGCCTCGACTCAAGCCAGAGAATCCGGTTTTAAACAAGAAAAGAAAGTTATTTCCTGGCTTCGGCTCAAGCCAGAGAAGCCAGTTTTAAAGCCAGAGAATCCAGTTTTAAACCAGAGAAGGAAGGAATTTCCTCTATTTGCTTTTCCCCACTTCTGGCCTCGACTCAAGCCAGAGAATCCAGTTTTAAACCAGAAAAGGAATGAATTTCCTGGCCTCGGCTCAAGCGAGAAAAGCCAGTTTTAAACTAGAGAAAGAAGGAATATCCTCTGCTTGTTTTTCCCTGCTTCTGGAGTAAAACAACTACTTTCAAAGTAAAGACCACCCAATGAAACAGGAAATAACACTTTCAAACAATTAACGTAAGGATTCTGAAGTCTCAGAAGTTTCGAAATGTTTTGAACATTTTTTTCTGTGAAAATAGGAATTGACTTTAGAATCGAACCACCAGTGCCCCCTACAAACAAAACTAGTTTTGAACCATTTTTTTAACCAAACAAGCCTAATATACACACATATGCATACACACATCATCATCATCATCATCATCATCATCATTATCATCATGTAATATGACTTTAATTTATTAGATTTTAATTGGAAGAGCCCATCGGCCTTTTATACATCATAAAAATCAAGTATTTTCTCCTTATGCAATAGATATTAGGAAAAAACTTCTTTATTTTAGCAGATTTTTTGTTCTGTTTTTTTTCTTCAGTTTCGCTTGATTCAGCCCTATGACCTCCCATCTCTTCCTTTTCTATTAGGTCCCATTTAGCTAGTTATTATCTGCCAGCTCTGAATCTGGAAACTGGTGACACCTCAGATTAGAGTTTGCCCGCCTGAAAGAATAGTGGCTCAGATAGGGAAGGAATCCAGTGGAGGATGCTCATTAGATAATGCTAATTTCAAGAAACAAGAGGGAAGATTTCCAAAGTTCAAGAAGGTGAGTGTCATAACCAATGTAGCAGCACAAAATGTCAAAGTGCAAGGAAAAGATGCTATTCCTGGACCACAATTTATGGAACAGATTTGACCCCAGAGGTTTGTTATTTGGTGAAGTATGTCAAGTAGGAGAGAAAGAACCCCAGAAAGAGTAACAGGAATAAATTTGTATATTTTAAATGTTAAACTTCAGCATACATTGACTTTTAAAACTATAACTATGTGTATATATACACTACGATGTACCACATTAGTTTGGAAGGGCCTCCTATCCATGACATCAGTATGAATACCTTCTTCCTGGATATCTGAAGACAGATTGCCACAGAAGGGATGTGAGCATTTAGTTGTGGGATTTTTGCCAAAACCACATTGCAGATATACTATATGTTGCTTTGTTCAGTTCTATTGTAGTCTAGAAGAACTTTCTCCTTTATCTCATTTCCCAAAGTGAAAGGAAAACAATGGACGAAGTGAGGTGATGGAGTCCTGTAGTCATTCTCTGCTCTTTCCAAGATAGATAGATAGATAAACAGGTAGATCTCAAGATTTTGGTAATGCAAAATGCTCATTAGATAATGCTAATTTCAAGAAATAAGAGGGAAGATTTCCAAAGTTCAAGAAGGTATGTGTGTGTGTTTGTGTGTGTGTGTATACACATACACACATATACACACATACACACACACACACACACACATATATATATAGGGAATTACCAAAAGAATTCCCAATATACGAGGGTTGAATGAAAGTAATGCCTCCACCTTCGTTACTTGGGTTTGAATGGGAATATTTAAATAAATCAAATGCAGAAATAATCCTTAGAATGTGTTCTTTAACTACCACTATTCACTTTTCCACATAATCACCAAACAATCAGATACATTTCTGCCAATGATGAACAAGTTTTCTGAAGCCGTCACAGAAGAAGTTGACACTCTTTTTCCGCAACCAGCGTCTCGCAGTTCTCTCATCCTGGGTACCCTTCGTGCACAGATCTTCCGATAGCCAAGCAAAGCAATAATGTGACCCACACATACTTGTGAAATGCTGATTATGCTTGAAATTTCTCTGAGTGATATGAGAGAAATTTCAATTATGCAACTTTTGTAAGTTGTATAATTGTATTTTAATGTATTTTTGTACTATTGTATTATGATGTTTACTGTGGTTTATCTTATTGTATTTTAACCCTCTGCTGTTAGCCGGCCTGAGTCCCTCTTCGGAGGTCGAGAAGACCGGGTTATAAAAGCTCGAAATAAAATAAATAATAAATAATAAATAAATACAATGATCGTCCTGAATCAATCTGTTAACCTTTTGCTTGTGAAACTCGGTGGTTGCTGTCACAGGACGCCCAACTCTTTGTTTGTCACGCCAGTCAGGTGTTCCCACCTCAACATCTTTAAACTTACTCGCCCAATGATGCACAATACTCACATCAACACAATCACCATAAACAGCTTGCATTCTCTGATGAATCTCCTTTGGGGTGACACCTTCTGCTGTCAAGAATTCAATGACTGCATGTTGCTTAAGTCGCATTGACTGACCATCTGCGCAGGGTTCCATACTTTGCACTTTAACAACACAACCGTTCAATGCTAAGGCTTCCCTCCAAAATGGAACTGTAGAGGAGAGTCTACTGAACAAGCCAGTACCTGCCACATACCAGTACTGCCATCTGTTGAGGAGTTATGAAGGTGGATGAATTACTTTTCATTCAGTCCTCATGTGTGGGTGTGGGTGTGTGCATGTCCAAATGGCTTTTTGGAAGACATAGAAGATATTCTCACTACCTCCCTCACCTTGCCATCTCACTCCCTATTGCTAAAAATATATGTCTGCTCAATTTCTGTTAATAAGGGCCTCTCCTGGACCTAAAATAGCCTGGGAAGCCCTAATGCATAGTTCATAGAGAGTGACTTGGGGGTGGGGAGGTGACTGTAGTGGGGTTCCAAGGTTTCTTGGAGGATAATAGGTTGCTAACTATTCTGTCGCGAGCTGGGCCTGTAAATAATTGTCTTTAAAACAGGACGTGCAACCTCTGCCCAGCGGGAAGCCAGCGGCCCAAGGAGGAGTTCACAGAAGTTTTCCACCACAAATAGGCTTTAGATGGCTTGTGAAGTATAGCAGAGTCCTTTATTAATGAACAATCAGATAGAAACTTCTCTTGTCTTCAGAAAGATAAACAAATGATTCCAGGCTTTTATGCAACTGGCAGCTTCCTAAACTTGCCCACGAAGGACAGGCAACTGTCTTCAATAACTTCTTCTTTACTTTAAATGGAAAATCCCCTTTTTAACTTCTCCCAGGCTGACTGTAATCTAACCCTTACTGATGTGGGCTCCGCTACCGGGTCGAACTGCTTCTCAAACGCCGAGTGGACCTACCAGTAAAAGCTTAGATGTTCTCCAGCTGGAGTTCTTTGGTCTTTAGGGCTGTTTCCCTGGAAATCTTTGGAGACTCTTAAGACTGTTCTCCCCCGGAAGGTCTTAAGGGTTGAAGCTTTTGTACAGGGGAAGCTTGCACACATCCTGTACATTAGCTTTCCTTGCTGAGTCTAACTAAAAATGGCTCCCTTCCCTTTGCAATTGCCCTGAGCAAGGGGCGGAACCAAAACTTAATGATGATGGACAGGTGACTTGCCCTATGAATGCAACCAAAGGAAGCCACCTATCTGCAGAATCCCAGGAACCTTGGGCTGCAAGCAAACATTTAATACAAAGCAAATAAAATTGGAGCTCCTGGTACAGCCATACCAGAACACTAACCCTTCATAGTTGCCCACCCCTGCCATATGAGAACATCTTCTTTGTGCTAGGCATCTCTACATACCATCCACATTCCACTTGAGTTCACTTTCTTCTAGTTTTAAACACGTGCTCACAGTTTCTAGAATAGTTGCAAGTTTGACCCGTTGCTTCATTTCTGTCAGGGCAAGCTTCTCTGCTTTCAAAGTTAGGGATCCAAGTTTCTCTGGAATTGAGAGAGAAGGAGGGAGAAAAGAAGAAGAGAAGGAGAAGGGGGAAGAAGAGGAGAGAGAGATAACACTATGTAACATGATTTTTGTTGGGTTATAAATGTCATTTCCTAATTGGTTCTATCAAAGAAACACAAAAAAAGTTTATTAAACTACACAAAACTTTATTTTTGTGGGATATCCTGCAGCACCTTTTGCTATAGTTTTTCACTGAATATCTCATAGAGTCTCCATCATAGAATCATAGAATCAAAGAGTTGGAAGAGACCTCATGGGCCATCCAGTCCAACCCCCTGCCAAGAAGCAGGAATATTGCATTCAAATCACCCCTGACAGATGGCCATCCAGCCTCTGTTTAAAAGCTTCCAAAGAGGAGCCTTCCACCACACTCCGAGGGCAGAGAGTTCCACTGCTGAACGGCTCTCACAGTCAGGAAGTTCTTCCTCATGTTCAGATGGAATCTCCTCTCTTGTAGTTTGAAGCCATTGTTCCGCCTATCTCCAGGGAAGCAGAAAACAAGCTTGCTCCCTCCTCCCTGTGGCTTCCTCTCACATATTTATACATGGCTATCATATTCCCTCTCAGTCTTCTCTTCTTCAGGCTAAACATGCCCAGCTCCTTAAGCTGCTCCTCATAGGGCTTGTTCTCCAGACCTTTTATCATTTTAGTCGCTCTCCTCTGGACACATTCCAGCTTGTCAATTCCGCATAGTTTGTGGCAATCACAAAAACAACGTTTCTGGAGTAGAACAACGACTTTCTAAGTCTTGCAGAATTAAACAGTTAAAAAAACACTTTCAGACCAGGAATAGATTTTTTTTCTCTCTCAAATTTTGTTACATAGTGTAATTATGCTCCACTCATTTCTTGCTGAAATCTTTCCATAGAGGTCTGACAAAAAGTAGGTCTTGTTTTCATTTGTATACAATAACGATCACTAGAGGTGCATATTGAATTTTAATTGCTAAGAGCCAATTTGGGAGACCATTTCTACTTAAACGTAGGAGAAAAATATAACAACCAATTAAATGGAAAGTGAGTAGGTTTGAAATAGTACAAATGCTAGAAGTCATTGAAACAGGTGCCCTTTTGAGCAGAGGGAGCATTTACTATGTATTCTGCCTGGCTTAGTAAATGAGTTCAATTATCACTTTTTGATTGTAAACCTCCCATGTTTTTTCACTTTTGATAATGTCTTTCTCTCCATTCAGGAGCATAGTCAGAACTCTCAATAACAAGGGAAAATACTGTGTTTCCCCCAAAATATGGCTTATATTGCGCTTCAAAATCCTGCTATGTCTTATTTCACGTGTATGTATTATTTGAGAGGAAACAGGGTAGCTTACCTAAGAGATGGTGAAGGACTAATCCATCATATAGGTCTTGTTCTAAGTTTCTCACCACAATGTGTTCATGCTGCAGCGTTGTGTTAATCCATTCTAGTAAAACCTATATTAGAATAAAATAGCTGTGTATTGGTTTGAATTTTAGTTTCAGTGTTCTAAAGTGAATGTGAAAGCCCCGAGGATACTGGACCAGTGACTGGCTGCTGTGGCGACCTGGATGAGGAAGAACAAGCTGAGGATCAATCCTGACAAGACAGAGGTCCTCCAGGTCAGTTGTTCGGCTGACTGGGGTATTGGGTGACAACCTGTGCTGGACAGGGTTGCACTCCCCCTGAAATCACAGGTCCACAGTTTGAGGGTCCTCCTAGACCAGTGTTTCTCAATCTGGGGGTCGGGACCCCTGTGGGGGTCACGAGGGGGTGTCAGAGGGGTCGCCAAAGACCATCAGAAAACATAGTATTTCCTGTTGGTCATGGGGGTTCTGTGTGGGAAGTTTGTTCCAATTCTATTGTTGGTGAGGTTCAGAATGCTATTTCATTGTGGATGAACTATAAATCCAGCAACTACAACTCCCAAATGCTGAGGTCTATTTTCCCAAAACTCCACCAGAGTTCACATTTAGGGATATTGAGTATTTGTGCCAAGTTTAGTCCAGATCCATCATTGTTTGAATCCACAGTGCTCTCTGGATGTAAGTGAACTACAACTCCAAAAATTCAAGGTCAATGTCCACCAGACCCTCCCAGTATTTCCTCTTGGTCATGGGAGTTCTGTGTGCCAAGTTTGGTTCAATTCCATTGTTGGTGAACTTCAGAATACTCTTTGATTGTAGGTGAACTATAAATCCCAGCAACTACAACTCCCAAATGACAAAATCAACCCAACCCCACCAGTATTCAAATTTGGGCGTATCAGGTATTTGGGCCAAATTTGGTCCAGTGAATGAAAATCCATCCAGCATATAAGATATTTACATTAAGATTCATAACATTAGCAAAATAACTGTTATGAAGTAGCAACGAAAATAATGTTATGGTTGGGGGTCACCACAACATGAGGAACTATACTAAGGGGTCGAAGGCATTAGGAAGGTTGAGAAACACTGTCCTAGACTCAACGCTGACACTTGACGTGCAGGTGTCGGTGGTGGCCAGGAGGTCATTCGCGCAATTTAAACTTGCGCGCCAACTAAGACCTTACCTCGTGAAGTCTGACTTGCCCATGGTGGTCCATGCCTTAGTTACCTCTAGATTGGATTACTGTAATGCTCTCTACGTGGGGCTACCCTTGAAGATGGCCCGGAAATTACAACTTGTCCAACGTTCAGCAGCCAGATTAATAACTGGGGCAACTTACAGGGAGCAGTCAACCCCCCTGTTTAAGGAGCTCCATTGGCTGCCATTTTTTTTCCAGTCCCAATTCAAGGTGCAGGTTATCACCTATAAAGCCCTAAACGGTTTGGGACCTGCCTACCTTCGTGACCATATCTCTCTCCATGAACCCATCTCGGGTCCTCCATTCTTCTGGGGAGGCCCTTCTTTCGCCCCCGCCAGTCTCCCAGACTCGCTTGGTGAGTACAAGGGAGAGAGCCTTTTCCTCTGTGGCTCCCCAACTCTGGAACTCACTTCCTGGAGAGATTAGGAAAGCCCCTACCCTAGAAACCTTTAAAAAGAACCTCAAAACCTGACTCTTCCACTGCGCATTTGATGAGTAGATCTACATCCTCATACTAGTGTTTAGTTTAACGGTTTTTGTTACTGGAGTGCATTCCCCCATAGGAAAATTTTGCTCCACAACCTCCACTAAAACGAGCTATCCTCCGCAAATAATCTGTCCTTGTTCATCTCCTGTTTATCTCGCCTGAGTTTTTAATCTGTTTCTACCCAATTTTCTTTTATCCATTACATGTAGCTCGCTCATGTTACCATGATTGTGTTTATTGTAATTTTATATTGCTATGTTGCCTTTTGTTTTATGTAATTGCATTATTATTGTTTATTATTTGCGTTTTTGGTTTTGTTTTATTTCATGTAATTGTTGTTTTGGGCTTGGCCTCATGTAAGCTGCACCGAGTCCACATTGGGGAGATGGAGCAGGGTATAATTAATTAATTAATTAATTAATTATAATGTGAAAGAACAAAAGACAAAGAGTCAGCTATAAAAAGACCACATTCTGATCTGGTGGTAAGTATTCATAGCAACATCTTCAGAGAAATGTCATCACAAAGGACAGAATTCAGCTGATAAATATGCTAGAAATAGTTTTCAATTTAAAAAATGCAATAAATAAAGTAGTACAAGAATAAATTGCAATAATAATGATAATAAAACTTTATACGCCGCCACCATCTTCCCAGTGGGGACTCAGGGCGGCTTACATGAGGCCAAGCCCAACAATGCAATACAATAAATTAAATCAGAACACAGGTAACAACATAATAAATTACATAAAACATAAAATATAAAAACACAGCAAACAAAATAAAATTACAATTAAATCATTCATAACATAGAACAGTGAGCGGGCCACATGTACAGAATAAAACTGTGATCCTAAACCTAACTGATGTCAATCCACTACCGGGCTGAACTGCGTCTCAAAACCGAGTGGACCTACCAGTAGGCCTGTAGTCATTTAGCTGGAGTTCTTGATGTTTAAAGCTGTTATTCCCTCCGAAATTCCTCGGGGCTGTAAGGCTGTTTCCCTGGGAACCTTTGGGAATCTTTAGATGCTCTTAAGACTGTTCTCCCCCGGGAAGTCTTAAGGGTTGAAGCCTTTGTACAGGAGAAGTCTGTACACGTCCTGTACATTGACTTTCCTTGCTGAGACTGACTGAAAATGGCTCCCTTCCCTTCTCAATTGTCCTGAACAGGGGGCGGAACCAAACTTAACGATGATGGACAGGGGGCCTGCCCTATAACTGCAAACTTTAACAGGAAGCCACCCTTCTGCAGAATCCCAAACCTTGGGCTGCAAGCAAACACTTAATACAAGGCAAATAAAGTGGGAGCTTCTGGTACAACTGTACCAGCACAAATGCTAAGTTCAGGAGAATGGAATTCGAAGTTTCTTTTACCTCTTGTGTTGAATTAAGAGGCAGGGAAAATTACCAATGCAATGTTTCCCTGTTGACATTTCCTGCTCAAGAGCCTTTCCTTTTTCCATTAATCCTTATCCACCATTACTTTTTCCCTTTGGCTATTGTGTGTATGTGTGTGAGAGACAGACATACAGACAGAGGATTGGAGAAGGTGACGAGGACCCAAGTGGGGCTCAAATTCTAAGAGTCCAGAGAAAAATTTAAATAGTTGCTACATGTTCATTAACATTCAAATGACATTGAACTAATTTCTTTCCACATACAGAACATAATATCTGATCCTCAGTCTCAGTTTAATATGAAACATTAAACAGTAATAGGGTGCTGTTTATGCTCAGGTCATCTTTCTGTAAATCTTTAATACACCATGGCGTGTCTAACATAAAACAAGGAGCTTCGGGCATAGGAGATGTCCTTTATGGACACCATTTCATCAAGTCACACAGTAACAGAATTTGTTGCCGCAGGGTTATCTGATGCATAGTGCTCTTTTTTCCATAGGGATCTGGCAAACATTTTGTGAGAAGTGCTACAGGTCTCCAGAAATATCCAACTGGAAGCAAAATCGAGGGAAAGAAAATAATAAAATCCCATCTTTGTCATTGTCCTATGGGTTCCAGTCTCCTATCTCTTACTTCTCTTGGCCTGGAAGAAACCCTACTGTAGTCCATCATGAGATAAAAGGTTAGACAAACCTGCACAGGCCATAATCAGATAAGGAATGGCTATATGATAAATAATGTACACTTCGTTTGTGCATTGAATTAAGTATCTCTATTTCACAGTAGTAGGGAAAATGCCAGATACTGAAAAACAAAGGGGAGGGGAACAGAAGATGAAGGAAGAAAAACAAAGAGAGTGTTTTGTGTATCATATCCTTTTTTAAAGTAATGAATAAAGTGTGGCTATTCTATAGTAGTGTGACGGCGCGAGTGGCACCAACTGTTTGTATAACTTTAAAGTGCAAAGGTTTAAACTGTATAACATGCCCAAACTTGCCTAGTTTGTAAATGTATAGTTGGATTGATTGGTCATTTATAGCTGTCAATCAATGTTGTTTGCACCAGTTATATTGCTTCCTCAGCTCAATTGCTTGGCTCCACCTCCTCCTGGAGGAGGGCAGAGCTTTTCCTTTTCCATTCTACCATCAAACTTTCTATCAGATAGACATGAGAAAGAAACTTGGCTCTAAAGCCCTTAATTAAGTTACCTCTCATCACCAATTCTAAGGTTTTTACCCTTGGGACTCATACTTCATGCCCAGATCGCCCTGGACAACATTGAGGACACCCAAGCGCCTTCAAACCGGTCCTGTGGCACCAGAGGAAGGCTTCGTGTCTTCAAATATAGGACATTTGGATTGGGGCTGTGAATGTTCAGGCATTTGCAGCCATTGAGAAAGGGGGAATCTTGAAAAGCTTCTCAGCTGCGAAATCTCCTTGGACCCAAGACAACCAAAGACTGTAATGTATATTTCCTTTGCCCCTTTGAAACTTCCAGCTTATATCTTCTAAGATCTTCTG